TGCAAAAACATCACTGCCTAAATAGACTGTAAAACAAATGAATCATGGTGTTTTGGTTAGACTAAACTGCTGAGAAGAAGTGATGCTGCCTTGTTAGTCTGGCATTTGTCTAGCATTCTCACCTGGACAGTGCCATTCTGTTAGCCACAGCTGCTTCGAGGAAACGCCTGCACTCTCCAAGACAGCCTTTGTAGTGAAGAAACATGGCTGAGAGGCTTCTGCATGTTTTCTGATGTCCACCTCTTTGTGCTGCAAGCAGGAGGGAGCCTGTCCTGCCCATACAGAAACCTCCATGTTGTTCAGCTGAGGGGCTTAGGGCAGATGTCGAGGGTGTCCTGACTGGCGTTGGGCATTTGCCCAGTGCCACAGCTTGGAGGAAGAAGTAAGAGGAAATCTTTTCTGTGGTGTGGAGGATGCAGCCAAAAGCTCGCCTGCTTTTTCTGCTTGGTTCCAGCATCACTTTTTGCTTTTACAGAGACTGTTTGAGGGCACAGTGTCCCAAAAAAACCTCTCAGCCAGGTGATCTGTGACAGGGGGAGACATGGTCCGGAGAAAAAACCAGAAAGACAGGGGAGAGCCTCAAAGATTTTGATGCGGATATGAATCCATATCTCAGTAATCATCTATTTAAAGGGGATGCTGCTTTCATCTCGTCTTTGTGGACAATGGAAGTGCTGCTCTCCATAATGGCAAAGGCTGCAGGGGGTGGAACAGAAGGTACAAATGGTTTCCCAAGCTTATACAAGAAGCAAATGTGGGCTGTGAATAGGACACAAGTTTGTTGATTCACTGTCAAATAACCAACTGTCTGACATCCCCTTCATTGATTTTGTTGTCCACTGTGCAATAAAATTATGCCAAGGTTTGTAGCTGTGTCTTGAGGCAGTGAAAGAGTTGTTATGCCTTTTTTTTTTTTTAACTTATCTTTAAAAACAAGGCAAAGCAAGTAACTTTCTGCAGGAATACTGTAGCATGTTCATTTTACGTTATTTGTCCTGGAACTGATTAGCAGCGGCAGTTTTCACCATAATTGCATAGATCATAATTAAACATATTTTTGTTCTATGAGCTGTGGCAAATTTGGATTCTCTATAAGGCAGCTCTTAGGAATGAAGGCAATTTGCATGTTATTGCGAAGTGCATGTTACAGGAGACATACTAGCAGATGGCTTCAGGGCTTGTTTGCATGCAAAATACATAGCACTTGCAAGCAAAAATACACTGGGCTTTCTCCATAGTAATTCGGGGTTCTTACCCACATGGAATCAGTGTTACCCACTGGACCAGTTATTTAATTCCCAAATGTCCCCAGACATGTCAGAGCAGCTGGGCTTCTGCAGTCGCCTGGGATCTGCTTGCAAAAACTCCATTCCCATGATGTTTGGTGGTTCTTTCATAGTACAGAGTACATGTGAAGCTGGACAGTCAGTAAAGAGCTTTGGACCTGACCTATAGGAATAGTCACACAGTCTCCTTCCAGTCTCTGCCTGAGAAGGGGGTCGCTCCTGTCCCTCTAAGTTATTTGGGGTTGGGAGATAATAATGGAGTCACTAAAAATGCAGGGTTTTGGATACCAAGTCTATTTTCAGATCTGAGATGAATTTCACGGTTTTAGAATAAAAAGATTTGGCAGAGGAGGGATAAACACTGTTGAAACAAAATCCAGTGAAACAAAAAAGCTTACGTTTGGAATGAGTGAACTGTTCGGACTAAGCCTGATGGAACACGTTTTTCCTGTTTCCCCTCTCATTTTGCTATAAATAGTAGAGCTCTGTATTTGAACATTCTGTGTAAGTGTTCCCTCTTGGTCATATACAAACACCTTCAGAGCACCTTGAAATACGATTTTATAAAATTTGTCTGAAAACCAGAAACATTAACATCACTGTTCTTTAGCCAAGGAGCTGAGATACCAAGATGTTATAAGTAATTTGTCCAAGGTCACGGAGGGAGACTGCAAAAGGCTCTTGACCTGACTCAGTTTTTTATGTACTAAGTCCTACCCAATTCCTGAACTACAAAACCATTCGTCTTACAAGACCAGCTCTGCTGAATATATCACTCTAGTTTCCTTTCCTAAAACAGGTGAGGCACAACACCCCAATGCTGCCCTGAGACATCAGATATGGTATTCCAGTTTTGCGTTCAGCCTGCACTTCATTAACACTCATATTTCCCAAATTTGTGGAAGTTCACATTTGAATGTGCTTTCCTTTCCTGACCCATTTCTATAATGCAGCAGTGTTGAGTGCCAGTGACAGACAGCTGTGAACTCTAAGCAAGTTCAGAAAGTGAATTATGGTCATCGACTTACCTAATTATTTTCTGAATCACAACTGAACTGAAGGTGTTCTCAAAGGCAATGAATAAGTTAGAGGGAAATCCACTGCGAGTGTCTGAACTGCTGGTGAGGGATCAAACTCCTCAGCTTTCGCTTTCCAAATGTGTAACATAGGAAATGGTGTCTCAGCATCAGGCATTTGAAGGGACGGCGTTTCAGTGCATGAACTCGTAACTACGTGATACAAACATTTGGGGAATTCACCTGCTTGTCCCTGAATAGTTCTGCATTCCCTGTTCTCCTACCACTTACATGAAACGGGTGAGAATTTTAGATGAGCAACACATGCAAAATCAAGTCCTTTGAGGCAACACTTAACCTAAGGTGACCGACTCTATTCAGCATGAACTTATATACATAGGTCAGTGTGCAGGATGCTTTGTGTGGCTTAGTGAACAGCACGATTCTGCTGCGAGCATGCTTCAGCCTGTATGTCTGTGAGATCTCATAGCACCTAGTCTGATTTGTGAACGCTGCTGGGAAAAGTAAAGCCTTGTGATTTTTGCCATATGTGACATCTCAAGGTTTCAACTCTGGGAGCACCAGGTGAGAAGTCAGACCTGCATCAGAATGACGCAGAACAAGTAGGTCAGCAGTTTTGTTGCATGCATCTTCTGTGTGTCTGTGTGCGTGCGTGCATTTGAGAAAACAGAAAACCGTGGCACTGAATCCTTAAGTTTCTGCTCTGCCTTTCTTTAGACAAAAGTCTCACTGACTGTTTCATGTTCAGTTGAAGAGAATCAGGACGGTTTTGGCCTCTTGTTGCAGTAAAACATGTGGCAACAATATGTGGGGATGGTAGAGAATTGCAGAATGAGTGGATTTCTTCTAACAGCAAGCAAGGGCTTTGGCTAAAAATAAGGAGAATGGTGTTATTCTTTGTCATGTTTCGGCTGCCCCAGTTGTACTCTGCTTAGTGCCTGCCAAACTGATAGCTTGCTGAAGATTTAAAGGAGCAACACTCACATTCCTATAATAGCTACCAGAATAGCTGAGGATATCGTCTCTTCTTCAAGCTTTCCTTCCCAAAGCCTGCAAGAAGCAAGCATCCTCACCCCTGCTTCCTCCTTTCTGGGTGTCACAGGCACTGTCCTAGGCTGCTGCTTCGACAGGTTGGGCAGCTTGGGCTGTTTGTCGTGCCGTGAAAACAGACGGCACATTTGGGGGGCAGCTGGGCAACAAGAGACTGACAGAGCGTTTGGCCAGAGATTATAATCCCTTTCAAACCGGGGGAGTCTTGGAAGCGTGCTGCCCAGGCTGCCGGCACCCGGGGACGACAGGGCTGCTCTCTGGAGCAGCTGCAATTTGGGCAGGAGGCAAGAGAGACAAAGAAGGGGGTACTCGTCCCCTAGATAAGCAGTCTGAATTAATTCAAATAGCCTGTGCCTCTCTGGTCAGCCTTTGCCTCGGAGGAGCAGTCCCAGTGCAGGGGGGCTTGGGCTGAAGTCACCCGCCGGTGCCAGCTGCTGTCAAATGGCTGTCCTTGTGAGCCCTGCACAGGCTAGGACAGGCACTTCCTCTGTCTTTTGAAAGAAGCAAACGCGGAGGAAAAGCAAGAATGAAAAGCGGGAGGGGTTTGCAGAGGGGGGAGTTGGTTTTCGGGGGGCACCTGGAGCAGAGTGGCCCTGTGCCCCCAGAGCCGAAGCTGCCACTGTGTGTGTGTGTGGGGGGGGGGGGGGGGGGGGGGGGGGGGTGCAGCCTGCTGGCAGCCTGCTGGCAGATTGTCCTTTGTGTGTAAAATATTAATTACGGTGGGACAGGCTGCCATGCCGGCCGAGCACGAAGGCGAGGTCGCTGTGTTTGCCAGGCTGGAGAATCGCAGCGCGTCCTGCCAAGGAACCCCGGCGCTGGCGGTGCCGGCGGCTGTGCCCGCCAACCCAGAGGGGCTTCGGCCCGATGTGGCGCTCCCATGGGTTTGGGGACTTGCCAGAATTGGGGGGGGGGAGCATGGGAGAAGTGGAAGGGGCGTGAGAGGGGGGGAAAGTGAAGGGAAGCCCTGCGCTCCTGCGATGCGTGCAGCCAGCCAGGGATCCAGAAGTGTGCCAGGCTCCGGTTTGCCGCCAAACGTGCCCGGCGCCCGTGGCTGAGGGTGAGGCTGGCGGCGGGCACGGCCGGAGCGGGGACCTGCTGAGCATCCTCCAGCCGAGCCCGAGTGGATTGGTTAAGGAGCAGGGTCGCGGAGGGCAGCGAGGCTCAGGCAGCGCTCCTGCCTGCTCTGCCGCCCGCCTCTCCCCCAGCCCTCCCCTTCGTCCCTGGTGTGTGTGTGGCGGCTCAACACCGAGGCGAGAGGGAGCGGATGGCGGATTGCACGCACGCCAGGCAGCCTGGGATGCTTGCTTTTTCTTCTGCTGGCTTCAGGCAGGGCTCGGTTTCAGACATGAGTGGAGAGAAACCTAAAAAGAAAGCTTTCTATCTAGTGAGGATGAAGCCACTGAAGGAGCCCACCACCACTAACAGCAATGTCTCTTTTGTGATACACTGTCACATAGGCAAGGAGATCAAACACATTTGCAGCAACTGCAGTCGCGGGGAGGAAGCCCGTGACGGTGAGTGCTGAGATCCTGTGGGTGTAGGAGAGAGGCAGGGGAGCGCGTGTGCTTGCATGGGGGGTGTGTGTAGATGTGTGCGCTCCCGTCGGAGGCTGGGATGCTCGGCTTGCCCCTCCACAGATCCCAGGGAAAGAGGAGAGGGAGCCCGGGAGGAATGCGCTGGGCATCGATTCAGCCCGTCGATCAGAGGGATGCCAAGAGGGACAGGTCCCCTCGTTTGCCACAGAAGATTTATGCTAACAGTTAAGGCACCGACTCTTTTTTTTTTTTTTCTTTCCGTTTTTCCCCAGTTGCTATAGAAATTGCTGTGTGTATCGATTGTGTTTTGTTCCCATTCTCGTGAATTTTAGATCAGGGTTTTCTGCCTTGATACATCAACTTTTTCCTTGTCGTGCTGCAGTAGAGTTTGCTTGACTCAACTCAGTATCTGGAAGGACTGGTTTACCTGGAATCCAGATAGTGTGATTTTCACCATGCTGTCAAATGCATGGGGGAAATTGTATTTTTATTGGAATTAATATAGTGCTCTTCATCAGACAACTGTTCCCATCCCTTCCCCCCTCTCCTTTTGGGATTGAGCAAAACCTCCAGAGGGTATTCAGAGAGTGACGGTGTAATCAATCACAGGTGTTGCTACAGGTAAGTATATGCTTTTTATGTTTCTGGGAATCAAATACTTGAAGGCGCCAATGACAAATTATTTGGATTTTACCAAAGTCAGCAATTAGGAGAAGCTGAGAACTAAAAGGAGCATAAAAGCATTCAGGCAAAAAAAACCAGCCTCACAGATATTACCCCGCATTCTTTTTCAATGTTGTATTACTTCGTTTTGCTGTGTGGTTTTCATGTTACTTAGGACGGAAGGCACTTGACTCAGGACTCCCTATTAGCTGATGTTATAGACAGATCTCATTTTCTGAAGGTCAGGGAGATGCTTTTTTTGTGATAAATGTGAATATGAAATTGTTATCATTTTCTGAGTGGAGGTTCTCAGTAGTTATTGGCACTTCGTTTTTCAGCTTTTGTCACTGAGGCTGTTATTGTTGTTGTTGTTATTATTATTTTAATTAACCAAAACCGCTTTTGTTTGCTCTGTGCAAAAGAAGAAATATTATTTGTGATCCGATGGTCCTTTGTCAACCACAGATCTGCAGCTGAATGAAGTAACTGTGGTTTTGCTAATGTCTCTTCAGAATGAGCATCCTGATAGTGTGATTATAGTTTCCTTTGATTAAAAAGCAGCTAAAGCTGAACGGAATTGCTTTCAGTGGAAAGGGAGAAGACAGCCTGAGAAGCCTGGAAACCCACAGTGGGTTAAGCACTCTTACTGCTTATGCCACTACAGCAGAGGGAAGAATCTGATGAATGCTATGCAAAATGTTGAGTGTTTTCTTTCCTCTTATGTGCTGCTGGTGACAGCAAGTGCCACATTAAATGAAGGGCAATGTGCAGCAGCAGCGAGTACTTTACACTATTAATGTGGTTTATTTATCCTTAAAAGGAAATTAAGCCATTTGTTGAAAATATGCTTTCCTAGATTAATTGAATTGACCTAAAACTCAATTGCATCAACATCTTTTGCTGGGTCTTTTTTGCAACCGTGTACTTGAAATCTTAGCACAATGAGAAAAGAACGTTGCTTTCCTCTCTTTTAATGCACACATGTGTATGCATGAATGCTTATGAATGTATAACTCCAGTTACTTGTACCTCTTAACAGACTAACAGGTATGTATTTAAGGACTTTGCTTCCTTTTTTATGTTTGATTGTTTAGCTTCAAACCATCAGATACTTTGAGGGGAGGGTATGCGTCTAGACAGGAGATAATCTAGTAACCCTAGAGAGGCAAAGAACAGAGCAGAGAGTCTTCCATCTAGCCAGCTTCCAGAGCGTCTCATTGGTCCGTTTTCACCCCCCCCTTCTGTGGGGTAGGATTTCATTCTACCTCGTACAATAACTTCTGTGGTCATCATTTTAAAAGTATGTAATACCAGTACAGCCTTAATCCTTTCTCTCCCACCAGCATGCACAGCTATGAGTTTCTTTCAGAAAGTCAAGAAACTGTAGTCCCAGCTACGCTGGCTGAGCACACTCACTGTCTTGACCCTGACACGTTTTTCAGGAGTGAAAAATACCGGTTTTTCCCTCATTAATACCTGATCTAGACCTTTTGGGGTTTGGAGGGAAAGGGTGATATAATGAACTGAAATTACAATGTAATCATAATATCAGCAGGACAGATCTGGTAAAAACCTGTGACCAGCCCAGATATGGAGAAACCTGTAGGGATCTCAAGATGTCCGTGCATCCTCACAGTTGCACAGCCTAAAAAGCACCCAGAAAGGGGACCGCTTAGTACTTTTTATAAGGGAAATGCATGTAATTTTGCCATGTGGACACCCCCACCTTCTTATTGAAACCTACATATAGTTCATACATGGTCTTGCAGGCCTGAAACTACACTAGTGAATCCAAAAGTACTGTGTGGGTCCTGTGACCCGAGCAACTATTCTGTTTGTTAGAACTGAGGACAAAGACCAGGATTCAGTCCTTATAGCATAGGCCAAGCCAGTGGGATACATTGATTTAATCCTGAAATACCCTCCAAATCCAGTTATGAGTCCTGGATTCTAGTCGTTGTCTTACTCTGCATTCTCATTGTACTACTGCACTGGCAGAACTGGAAAAGGAACATTCATGCTGAAACTGAGGGATATCCTTCAAAGACCACTCACTAATCTAGCAAAAGTCATGAGTAGGAGAATAGCAGAAGAGATAGCCGTGAAACCAAAGGAGAAGATGGAGGCGGGTGCTGAATCATATGATATCTTGGAAGGGATGTCATGTAATTCGGAGAGGAGTTGGTGAAAGAATTTGGACATGCAGATGGGCTCACTGAAGTAAGGGTAAAGGGAGTTGATGTGGATGCAGCACTTTGATGAGATAAAAAAATAAGTGAGAGGCTCAAAGGGAAGCAGGAGGTTACAGTAATGCACATGGAAGTGGGAGATGCTGTAGCTTTTGGACTGAAAAGAATAGGTGTATTTAATGCTAATTTAGTTGGAAAATAGAAAACAGAGAGAGTGGTGTGTAAAACACCAATACTATTAGTTTGGGTGACAGAATAGCAGAAATGGTGTTGGAAATGGAGTAGTGAAACTGTATGTGAGGAAAGAATGAGGTGTGTGGTTTCATCCTGTGAAGTTTGAGTGGCCATGGGACATCCAGGACAGGATGCCAGAGAGGCAATCAGACATGGTAGACAGAACCGAGAGGGAGAGGCCAAGTGTAAAAACATGAGTCACCTCCAGGGATAAAAGAGCAGTCAGGGCTGAGCTCTGAATGCTGCCAGAGGAGGGCTGCGAGGGAGGTGTTGGGAGAAGCAGGGTGGTGAAGAGTTGCAAAAGTCCCAAGAAAAGGCAGGCAAGAAGTGAGGAGACAAGACAAATGGAGGTATTTTGAAAGTGCCAGAAGCAGGAAGGGGGATGAAAATACTTTCTGAACGTAAACGTGGGGAAGTGACTGATAAGCTTGTAGAGCAGAAGGAGCCAGAACGACAAGAGATCAAGGTGCAGTGGGACTCTGCGATGCTAAACATCTCCCAGTATGTACAGAGCACTTCTCCATGTACTGATTTCAGTGGCCTCTGGGAGGGTTGTGGCGGTGCTGGGTCATAGCAGATGACATGACTGATGAGCAAGGGAACAGTAGTTAAAGGAACAAATACAGCGAGATTTGGCTGGGCTTTACTGAAAGTGTTTATACACTGAAAACTGATTGCAAATCTCAATCTCCTGCAGCAGTCTGAACCTGGATCTAGAACGTGTTTTAGACACTTCTCTACTTTAGTGTGGCTGGAAAGAACTGTAGAGGTTTCAAAGGTACCCAGAAATGACCTAACAGAAGGAGCAAGTGGAGCAATTGCAGAGGGATACTTTTGATTTTCATGCAGAGGATCTGACAAGAAAACTTAAGTGGAGAGCAGTTACCTAACAGTGCATTGGAAGAAAGGGACTGCACAGAGAAAAGCATTTTTTTTACCAGTGACAGATGAGGTTCTCAGCTTTTTGGAGTCTCTAGGTACAAGTGTAGTAGAAATATAAGTAATACTAAGAATGAAATAACCTGAAAGGTTTCATTCAGGGCTCAAACCCAGTCTGTTTACTGTATGCTCCTATAATTCAGGGTTTTGCTGTTTGAGCAAAAAAATTTCATTATCTTATATATGCATAAAAATCAGCCTGGACTGACGTACTGTTGCCGTAGGAATTCCAACACTTGTTCTCTGCTGACGTCCTTCTTCCAGAAAACTGTCTTTTCCAAATGGAAAGGGGGGTCTGGAAGGTTGTGTGTGTGGAGGGGGGTGTGTGATTCCCACCTGGAATTGAAGACTCTTATTTTTTTCAACCAGAAACTTGGAGAACATTTACTTTATCATCAATTAAGAGATTGTCTCCGAGGTGATTATTTTGTTTCCCACAAAAGTAATTATTAAATTAGTTATCTTCTAGACAAGCTGTAAGCCCTGCAAGAGCTGTGTATAAAAATAAGCTTTCTTTTACTAATTCTCACATTATGTCAAGCGGTAACTGCTCTTCCATTACCATCTCTAGAGTGAGTTCAGTATGTGGCTATGAGGAATTGCAGACATTTACAATTGTACATGTTAAAAAGCCTCAAATATTTTGGAGGGAAAAAAAATAGACTACAGGGAATGGAAAAGTAGGCAAAAAAACAGTGTACCTGGTCCTGCTGTGAAGTGTGGGAACCTGAAAAACATGTTGGAGGTTTCCAGCAGCTGATATAATTATGCAATGTGTGTCTTTAGCCTCTGAGGGATAGTTACCTTAAAGAAAGAGGCGGGGTGGGGGGAAAGTCATGGGCTTTCATTGCAGAGTGAAATATGTCTCCTTGACAGCACAACTCATAAAGTAAAATCGGTTTATTTTTGTCAGTTGAACTCTGTAGTGTTTGATTTGGGTGAATATGGTGATATGCCAGAGAAAGTTGATGAGGTTGAGCAAAGATATTCCACATCCCAGCAGGCTGCTGGGGAGCTGGGCAGGACACTTTGCTCCCACCAGCATCGCCTTCTGCTTGGGGAGGATACGATCCCTCAGCATTTTGTGGGCTGAGAATAAATGTGTCCTTCTAAGAAGGTGTGATTCCTGTTCATGGCAACTTCCAGATGGCAAAATCCCAAGGCAGGCAGGACACGATCATTTACCTTTCTTTTATCAGGGAGCGGGGAGGGTAGAGACGCAGTGTCCTGCTCCCGCCAGTGTGCCTTGCACGTTAGGAACTAACAGAAACTCTGCAGTTACCTGTGGTTTTGTCCTGAGATCAGAAGTTAACAGGGCTGCACTGTGCTGGTGTGGCTGGGATGGCCTGCAGGCAGGGAGGAGAGGGGGAGGAAGAGAAGAGGAAGAGAAAGGTCAATTCGGGCTAAAAGAGGATCTACCTCTGGCTTACATGCTAAGACTAGCAAATGAGAGCAGCTGACCGGAGGTATGTGAGGCTTCCCTTAAACACTAACAGTTATTTCATTCAGCTAGTCTGCAGTAAAAAAAAAAAAAAAAAAAAAAGAAAAAGGATGGTGAAAGAGAGAAAGGATTACATCTTCTACTTTTATGTCCCA